TCTAGGCTAATCATTGCTCTCTAGACGTGTCTTTGAAATCCCTTGAATTAACGCTGTGATGAATATTTACAGCTTTTTGTGACATTTGCTTAGCAATGTTGCAATTTCTCGACATTCCGCAATGTCTTGGCTTGCAATGTCTGGTTCTGTGGTTGTTTTGAATATTTTGAATTATCGTGTGAGCTTGTGAAATTCTAATTCTGAACGACGGGGAATATTATAATTATCTCTTGATGTTTGTTTCTTTTTTATTATTAATTTTCATGAAAATTAATATCTTCACATTGCAATAGATATATTTGACCGGCTTCGATTATGTATATCTTCGTCATGCATTACTGACGGAGACATAATCGAAATTAGTTAAATAGATCTCTTGCATTGTGAAGATGTTCATTCTCATTTATACCTTTCTTACATTTGTCGACATGAATGCGGTTCATTATTGATTTTCATTCGAAGCCCTAATGTGTGTATAAAAGCCCTAATGTGTGTAAAAATAGGCCTCACATTCTGGGAGTTCATTCACTTTTTTTTATATTGCCGCTGTGTCTTGACACTGTTTCTCAACGTCTATTTATTTTGTTCGGATTTTCATTGCTCTGTCTTCGTGTAAATATAAACTGTGATTATTTTTCTTTTTTTCAGAAAGTATGATCACGATAAGAAATTACTGAAATGCCAGAGAATGTGGAAATGAAATGATCTCACACCGTAACAGTCGAAATGGAAGAAAATAATAATAACAAAATCACATAGCTGCACATGCTGATGTTCATTGGGCAACGGGGCTTTGAATGAATACCTAATATATTCATGATCTGTCGCCATCGACTCGCTCGCCGTGATCATGTGGAGATTGATTTGTAAGCATTTTATTCCTTGTCTTGTGCATGGTTGTGAAATGTAAGGCTAGTGTATGTTTTATCAGTTAGATATGCTTTCATTGTACTCTTTTCTTCCGATTATAGTTTTTTTTTTCTTCACTGGCCCTTTTGTTTTGGTTTTATATGTGCAATGTAACCAAAAAGGTTGTTTGTTTTCAGACAGGAACATGTCTTCTCGCATTTAAGCTAAAGTGATTTCCTTCCTGCTTTAACCCTCAGGCTTCCGGCTTCCGTCGATGCCCCGCAGGGTCTTTCTGCGGAGGATCTTGCCCGTCATTTTGAGCGCCGCGGTCATGGCTATCCTCGCGTTTCAAGGAGTCTTCGATCTGGTGCGAGTGCTTCACGGGCCGTATGCGCTAACCGTCAGATCCACCTATCAACATGCCCTCGAAAGGAACGCTGGCCGAGCCTTCCGTAATGCCACGCCGCCTGACGACTTCCCGTTCGAGTACTTGATCAACGAACCCGAGTTCTGCAGTAGTAAGGATGACCTCGACATCATCAACTTCGTCGGCGTGGCACCGTGGGAGAAGAGTGCGCGAGAACGCATCAGGAGGCTCTGGGGCAACAGCACCTGGAGAAGCGTGTCTGGCTTCAGCACCGTGTTCCTGGTGGGGACGACAAACGAAGAGGGCGTCATGGAGGCGGTGCAGAAGGAGAGCCAGGTGCACAGGGATATAATACAGGTCTCCTTCCGCGACACCTATGACAATCTCACCCTCAAGACGCTCTCGGGGTTCCACTGGGTCGACCGCTACTGCACGAACCCAACGTGGGTCCTGAAGAGCGACGCGGATGTTGTCATCAACATCTTCGAACTTAAAGAGTGAGACCTTACTTTCTTTTAACAAAACTCATAATGGCAGATTAAACATTAATATATTAACTATATGCTACATTGCATTTATATTTCCATATCTTACGTTCAAACGCCCTTTTGTATCCTCTAGCTTTCTAACGCAGTACGATGAACGAACCAATGGCACGAGGCAGCAGATGATCTGTAAGCGCAGACACTCTCTCAGTCCTTGTCGGAAGGGCTGTCGACATAAGAAGTGGCAAGTCTCTTGGGAAGAGTACCCGCATCCGCGATACCCAAGCTATTGTCAAGGACCCGGGTATATTATTCCCAGGTATAGATAGACAGATAGATAAATTGCAGCTAGGCACATAGTTTTACCTCCCACTCTATGCATAAATATTTAAAAGCAAAAGGGACAGCCACATACACAGATACTAAACCTCTCAAACGTCCCTTGCAGATGCCTGGTGGGAAGCATCTATCGCGCCGCCAACAAGACCCACCCCTTTCGCATGGAGGACGTGTACTACACCGGCATCCTGGCGCAAAAGCTCGGCATCACTAAACTGAACATCGCCCACCGCTTCCCCTGGCGTCCGAGAGCGTGGCAAGATTCCTTCGTCACCACAGACATCATGATCCTCGAACTGGACAAGGGCGTGGGCAGGGGCGCGTCAACTCTCGTGTGGTCGAACATCCTTCACAACAGGGGCTTCAAGGATGACTCCTGCGCTAATGTGACGGGAAACTTTAAAGTGCCCGCGTCCCAACGAGCGCATTTCAACTGAAAATGCTCTTCGAGGGATAATTT